TTCTGGGAAGAATAAGTGAAGAAGAAATATTTAAGAACAAGGAGCTATTGAGGCCAAATCCAAAAGATTCTATATGTTTGAGAAAGAAAGGCTCTTGTATCCTCATTGATCTCCCTGCGCAAATGCAAGTGTCCCATTAAACAAGGCAAAGAAAATCCATTTACACAAACTTTTTTACTTCGCAACCAAGAAAGTCACTGTGCCAAAGATTAATAACACAAAGCAGGCCACATCCTTCACTGCGGTCTTAGGAAGTTACAGATTTTGCCCCCCATGGGGAACAGATTTCTTTTTTTTTACAATTCTATTTCTAAAAAGCACTGAAGGAGGTGGAGATTAAAGTCGAACGCTAAACTTCTGAAATGAGCTTCTTTAATGGAATTGGAGATGTCGAGTGTTTCACTGCCCCAGGGAAGCAATTTGACTGTAGTGCAGCGTTTTATAAAGAAATGGCTTCATAAACAGGGAAACATTAGAAATCCCCAGAAGGGATATCAAGCCATCTATAAAACTCGAGAGGAGCTTTCCTGAAGAAGGCACATGATCTACAAGCTTGTGTTCCTTCTCCAGAACTCCCACAGAATTATTGGGTCGAATTATTTCCTTTAAACGGAGACATTAAACACTCCTATCCACGCCTGCAGAAATGCTAGAGCTTTTGGGATTTTGAATCAGCCATCAACTTTAGAAGACCTTAGAAAAACATGTCCCAGTGATTAATTTTGTGGATTAAGTCAACAGCCGCAGCAGGGAAGGCAAGCCAAAATCCGCCGCAGTCTTTCTGGGAGTGACACACTTCTGGTTTGGAACTACTGTACGCTTTCCTCTTCCTCCTTTCTGAGCAAAACAAGTCTTTAGATCACCAACTCTTGCATAACCCGATGAGCAGAAGTACCATTATATTCACTGGCTGCATCCACCGAAATCTCATTGCCAGGAAATGTGCTGGGGAGCCTTATTTAGAGTTGCGCCATACCCAGAAATGGCCATCCACCAGTTCACCCATGTCACCTCCTGTAACAGATAGACTGGAGTTGAACTGGGTTGAACTGGGTGACACTTTCCCCATGCAGCCTGGAGGGTCCGGCAATTAGGATGGAGTACAGTCGACAGACTTTTTATCAGGAAAATTAGGGATCTTGAGCAATCCCAAGCCCCCCCTAGCTGAGAATAGTGCTTTACCTAGAACGCTGCTGGCCAGGGTGACCTGGGGGAGCAGCAGAATGGATCCCGATGACACCAGCGTTTCTCGTGTAGCCCCTGACCCGGAACTCCTCCCTGGAACACACAGTACGCCCAATCACATATCTACCTCTCCGTCAGCAAGGGTACCCTGCCTTCCCAGCGATTTTAAAAGGCCAAATTATTCTCGAAAAACAAAAGACTTCAAACACTGATGTCCCACTCGTTCTTTCATACGAACGCATTCCATCTTCCCTTGAAAGAAAAGGGAAGGGCACAGAATCCAGTGGAGAACAGAAAAAAAAACCATGAGAACGAAAAAGACTTGAGAAGAAGGGGCTCAAAACCTGGTGCCGGAGAGCCTCA